TTCTACTTTACTCTCTGTATCATACCATATTGGAGCCAAAACAATCATACCATTTTCCAGTATAGTATAGCACAGCACACTACATTATATTATACAATATAGCCTGCAGCTATCCTTCTAGACCTTGCCGCGCTCAGATCTGGACAACTTGGCGTCGACCAAAGAAGCGGCCAAGGAGTACTACGGGAGGGCAGCCGGGTCTATGGGTTCTGCACTGTACATGCTACCCCCTTGCAGAAATGTCTTGATCGTTTACTTGATTGAGGCCGTCGAGGGCAGTCGAGTCACGGCATGGAAAGTTACGGAAAGCACCACTGACCATTGTTGCACGCTAGTTTGGGGTGGACAGACATGGCAAGTGGTCCCGAACCTCAATCAGTTCCCGTAGATGTCAGCGCAGAGGGACCTCTTTCACAATCACTCTCCCGTCAAGAAGGCGGTCGGCTTTGCCGTACTGGCCACTGCGACTATCCGCACCTTGCCTTTTCAAAACAGGAGTTCGGCTGGCCCCCACCAATGCCGAGTCAGTTATAGCGTTAGCTGTTCTAGCAAGTTGCAGTATAGCACCGCATAATTACTATAGCCTATATATTTTGTGTATATATATTTATATAGAGTCTATGATATTGAATTCTAATACTCGTAGTTCGACTGCAACATCCAGCAACACTACGTCACGTGTCCTAAAGTCGGAGACTTGAGTCGAGCAGTCCAGTGTGGCTATAGAACCCTAAGCTTGTAAAGCCCTCAAATCGAGGGCTGCTTTTAAAGTGCATGTCACGCAGTAGCCTACTTCCAATGCTTCTTGACCTGAAAGCCTTGTCTGGCAAGCCCACAAGACCACGTGCACGACATCTCAGATGTACCACCCTGTAAATCTCAGGAAGGCGTCATGAGCTCTAAGTCTTCAATCCACTCCACACAGCTCAGAATAGCCTTGAGGTGCAAATCCCCGAAGTCAAGCCCGAAGAGTGATAAGTGTGCCCAGGGATGGCACGCGACATGCCCCGCCGCTTCGACTCGCGTGGCGTGCGGCGGACACAGCATGTAGTGCATCTGCAAAAAGGATGCGCCTTCGGACCCATGGAGTTCAATCTTTTAGCTTACTATAGCGGCTTAAATAATTATACTAGTTTGGGGGGGGGGGTTCCTGATTATAGTATATTATAGTTATAGTATGGTATTCATTAAGGCCCCTATTAAGTCTCGCAAGCTCGTTGCCGTTTGCGCCAGTTGCTAGACGGGGGCAAAAAGCTTCGGGTACGCAGTTTCAGGTTTTGGGGCTGCGTTCGGGGATGGCGTTTGACTTGTAGGCTTTTTTCTTCAATAGGATTGTAGTGATCGAAACCTGCTAGCTTGGCAGAGCAACAGTGGCCAGTCAAGTCTAGAGACCTTGACCTCTGCGTGTGGTCGGTCGGTAGCGTTTACATGATTGGATGACTAGTCTGCCGTGCTTTGTCGCAATGTTGCTTGGTGTGTTGCACTTGGCTGGCGCTCTAAACCTAAGTTCGGCTTTTCTTGTCAAGTACTATGTAACATCATCATAACCGCCACAGTCTTAGCAAGTAAGTCCCCAGATTCTCAACCCTCCGACCCTTTATCCCACTGCCCTTAATGCTATTGCCCTAAACCCAAACAACGTATAAACAAGATTCTACGCACTCCCCGAAGCCGCTGAGCTCAGGTTCTACTTTCCCGAGCCGGAGCCCCGCCCACGACCTCCGCCCATGTCCGCGGAGGATGAGAGAGGCACCTGGCCAAGGTTTATAGGGTTTTAGGTCCAGGGTTTAGGGGTTTGAGGGGTTTGTAGTTTTACGAGTGGCACAGATGTTGCCCTTCGACCAGGCCTGACGCTTCGAGTGCCTGAGAGAGAGAGAGAGAGAGAGAGAGAGAGAGAGAGAGGGGTTTAGGGTTCAGGTTTTGTCGCAATAGGCCTGGATGCAAAAGGGTTCAGGTTTTAGATGGTTTTAGGGTGTTGTGTGTCAGCTGTCCTGGCGTGACGTTGCAAGCCAGTTGCAAAAAGGGTGTTGTGTGTCTAGACGCTGCTGGGCAAGGAGGCCTGTTGCAAAAAGGGTCAAGGGTGTAGGTTTCGGATGAGAGGGGACTTGGCCAAGGTTGCTCATCATATACTCTTCCGTAGGGTTGTGGGGATACATCGGGGATATAGCTTTAGGGCTGTTTTGGGGGGTTCGAGGTCTAATACGTTCTTCCGATGCTTTGGAAGTTTTGGAGCTTGTTGGATTCAGGATTTACGAGTTACAGGGTTTGGGATTCAGATACATAGCCTACGGGAGTTAAGGCCTTCGAGACCTTTATAACAGAGCTTACGTCCTGCAAGCAGAAACCTGTCCTTTCGTCGATCTGAGGTCGGCTCATGTTTGGCGTCACTATGGCCACGGTGGGTGGGCAGGACATGCTTGGACCCTTTTTCAAAACAGCACCAGGTTTGTCAGGGCGCTTCTAAACTGCAAGGCTTACGGTTTCGGGTTTGGACCTCGGGCTTTCGTCACAAAACTGATCTGGTTGCTGCTTCACTGGGAGAGACCGCGCTGCAGGTTGATTGGTCTGACGCCCAACATACCTCCTTGCCCAGCTCCTCCCCCTCATCCGCCATCAAGAATCAAGCCAGATCCCACACATCCTCCCTCTGCGAAACTTGTGATGAAGATGTGGAGAAACTGGTTGCTGCCATCCTCGAACGTGGACTTTGTACCCTACCTTCTCCTGCCCTTGCCAGTCTTAAAATTTAATGACGTCAGCCGGACTGACGTCCAGGATCGCAATGAGCAGTCGGAGACCGCGGGCAACGCCAGGCGGATGCCGAAACGAGACGAGAGAGCTCCTGAACCAGGGGTTGAGATGTCGAAAGATCCTGGGTGCCTCTCTCTCGGCATCGTATTTCAAATCCGGTGTTTTCGGAGCTTCCGGGAACGGGCTTTGGAGCTCCTGCCACATCCCTTGTGAACCAAGATTTGAACCTCTCCCGAGCCTTCACTGCACACGCACAAGCCCGAAGAAGGCCGATGCTTTGGCCATACCTGCAAGCTGATAAGTTGAGAGTGTAGTATATCTAGAGCACATTACAGTATACTTATGATATGTCTTGGTTCTTTCATAGTACCAAAAGTTGTACATTATGGGTCATTATGGTACACGGTAGTACATGATCGTATGTGGGACTTTTTACTCGCCTCGAAACCATGGACAGGCCTCCGTAAGCTGGAGCTCGGGCACTTCCTTGCAGGCTGAGAATGCTTCTAGAGGCTCTCCGGCTGCAAGGGTTGGGCTGGCTGCTTTGACGGTTTAGGGTTTAGGGTTTCCGTCATGTGCTCAGGTGATTGCAGAAGTCCTGATGCAAAAAGGGTTTCCGTGCTGAAAAGGGTTTAGAGTGAAGGGTTTGGGGTTCAGAGAGACCTCGTTCAAAAAGGGTTTAGGGTTTAGGATTGGTGTTGCGGTTTTCGGGCCTCGGCTGAAGAGCAGCGGAAGAGGCAGTGCTAGTCCGGTTTCAAAAGGGTCGAGCATCGGAATCTGTTGCTTTGAAGCTTCGGAATGATAGCCGTGTCGAGATCTCCTTGCAACACCTGACCTAGAGGTTCTAGACTCTAGCCGCGAGACCGCTAGACGTCTTTCAGCAAGTACCTTTTTGCTCCACTCCCCGTGTGGCTGAATTCAATAGGCATCGGCATCTGTTTCCTTTTCAACAGTGTCCTTATTAGTTTTTATCAGGCCCTGCACTTCGTCGAGCTTAGATGGTCTAGATTGTTTACGTGTTTGTTAGGGCCCACTATGAAACATAAACGTAGTATATCTCCCGGCTGTGCCTAGATGCGAGTGCTGAAGCTCCCATATATCTTATTCCTCACATCCAGCAAAGGTGGCTCAGCAGCTTGGAGACGATCCCTGTGCACAGGGGGCGGGAGGGGGTGGAGGTTCTGAACCATGGTCGATACCTCAAAGAGTTTCGTTGTAGGGTATATGCGGTGTAGGGTTCAGGCTTTGGGGACTAAGGTCCGAGGTAGTAGAAGTCCTGGTCATGTAAGGCTCATCCCCGAAGAGACTCTGCTGGAATGTACAGCCACCCCCCACCTGTACCTCCAAGACAAGCGAGCCGGCGATCTCAGTTTCACGCCTCCGTTTTGCGACATCGGCTTCCGTGCTGCACCATGAACCTGGACTTGTGCCAGCTATTGGGAGTTTAAGTTTCGAGGGAAGCGCCAATGGTTTTGACTGTAGGGTGACATGCACGAGACGCCAGCGCGACCTCTTCGCTGAAAATTTGACTGCGAGCTTTCGCTTGCCTGCCTTCAGCGCCATTCAGGCGGATGTGATCTTCGGATCTTCCCAGGAATATGAACAAGCTAACAGTATCTCAGGTAAGTTTCCCTTGGCACCCACGGAGCTTTTACAGTTGGGCCAAGCATGTCGGCGGTTTGTTTCTTCTGAATCCGTTGATTCGCGTGGCTGCTGAAGGCGAAACTTCTCACACAGAGTTTCTCTGTTGATGTTGATTAAGCATTCTCTCAGCCCCCAGCCCTGTTGAAAATGCATAGAAACCCTGAGAGTGCTGTTTGCATGCATGAGAAACCTGTTTGGTTCACGCGGCGAGCCTAAGCCCCATTCCGCACACCTCCAAATGGAGGTGCCTCCTAGCTGTGGGGACAGGCAAAGGCTGCAGATGCAACGTTTAGATATGACTCCACTTGTTCTTCCGGCCTGTCCATAGTTTGTGCTGCCGAGGCACAGCGACTACAGTAGCAGGGTTGATCAGACTTGCTGCGGGCAGCTAACGCTTGCCAGAGGCTGGAAGCCTCGCATGTGCAGCGAAGAAAAACGAAGTATGTGGGTCTTGTTTCGGACGTGCGTGATAGATCGGCAAATTGTGCTCGTATGCAGCAGCTTGTTATGGTATGCTTGGAAGTTGTCTTCTCGCTTGTGTCTAAGGGCCCATAAATGCAACATCCACAACAAAAGAACCGCTACTGCAGCCCTGTCCACACCAGGCACAGGGGAGAAAAGGGGCGGGTGGCTCAGAGTGATGTGCGCTCCACCGTGAGTTGTCAGCGACACACAGTCCTCGGTTTTGAGGGTGTTCGGTTTAATTGCTGGGACATTGGATGCATATATATATATATATATGTGTGTGTCAAAGGCCCTGGCACGCAAAAACGACCCTGTTATGGATGCAGACGGGGAACTTTGAAACTGATGAATCACAGAGTAAGCGACGGGAGAATAGGTAGACGGTTAGGCATGGGCACCCTTCATGATATGTGCGTGTGTATATATATATATATATAAATATGTTCATACAGGGTGTGGTAGCTATGACCTTTTGACCGTCACTGCAGAGCGACTGCCAAACTCTGCAGTTCAAGCTCCTCCAACGTTGAGCACAGTCAGTGCACAGTCGGCAAAGTACAAAACAGGTCTGTGTTGCTATGGTATCCCGACTACAGTCTCTACTATGTCAGCGTACCTTCACAGACCATCGACCTTCAAACACCGCAAGTCTGAGTCTAGCAGGGAGAAGCCAAACAAGAGCTGGAACTTCTTCGGAGCCTGTATGGACCATGAAAAAGATCCTAAAACCCTGACCCCTCAACCCGATCCCCCGCGTACCGCCTGCCGAGTTGCCGTGCTTCAAGCTGAAGGATGCGTGTGGTCTCAGAGTGGATGTGCGGTTTCATTTAGGGTCCGTAGATAGTGGAATGGGGTTCCTTTGACAGGGTTCGTGCTACGGTGTTAGGGGCATTCATCGCCCCGACTGCCCCGATTGGGCGCACGACTTGTTGTGCAGATTGGCACTTGCACTGCACGTCAGCTTGTTCTTCCCACTTTGCCTCAATGAGTTTGTGAATCAAAAGATCGCCAGAAGCACATGTCCAGACTGGTGTTTGGGTGGCATCTGCTTCGTGTGCCCCAAACCATGCACATCTAGAGCTCCGAAACTAAGTTGAAGGTGCATGGCATGCCAAAGGTCTTGCTGCTGTTCTTCGGGCTGCATGGCCGAGAGATCACAGACTTGCTGTGCAAGCAGGCCGGACAGTCCGCCCATCAGCATCGGCGTGTTGCTTTCGTCCCTCGTATCTGTTGGTCTACGTGATCAAAGATGCTGGGCATGCACAGAAACATCATGCCAAGTGTTGGGAACGGGCGAGAGTGCGACCTTTCGCTTGAAGTACAAAGAACCGGAACCCATGTCTTAGATCGTTACGGGTTTGGGATTTAGGGTTTAGGATTTAGGATTTGGGGTTTAAGGTTTAGGGTAAGTGGGGCGAAAGGGATCACGGACCCATGTGCATGTTTGACAGGTCACGGAGGCACACCCGGATCCGCCATGAGCTCAGTTACCTTCCATTCGGAGCGTCAGGACGTCAGGACACCAGGCGTCAGTCGTGTCGCAGCAGGGCCATTTTAAATGGCCGTGAGTTGCTTTGCAAATAAAACTTGAAAGGTTGGCATACATCACAGCATGCTGGCAGTACAAATGCGTCCTTTCTATAGACTCTATAGACATAGCATAAGACATTCTCCACCCCACATACAAGCATTTCATTGAGGCCTGCATGACAGTGCTTAGTCTTCTCAGGATATCCCCCGAAACCGAGGCAATATCTCATGCCGCTCAGTGAAGTGCTTCTCTGGGCACGCCGGGCTCTTACATGTGGCCCCTCTTTGTTTGGGATTTAGAATTCGGTGTTCACGGCGGCCAATGAAGGCAAGTCTGCGACAACGAAAATTGGTGAGCATGCCTCAGCAAAAGAAATTTCTCTCTTTCGGCCACTAAAGCGAAATCACAAGTGGAAGCAAGAACAATAGTAGTTAGCTGGCGGCAGCAGCAGCAGCAGCAGCAGAAACCACAATCCGGAACTCCCAACTATCAATACCAAGCCTGCAATTTCGAGCAAAGTCTGCGAAGCGAGACCATCGAGACCACAAATCCTTTTTTCAAGGCTTCATAGCTTCAAGCCCTTCGCATCAAGTTATTGAACCAAAGCACGAGCTCCCGCATTGCCGAGGCCGAAGGCGTGACGCAGAGTTCAAGGCCCGGGCTTTGGGTTGAGGTTTGCGGTCCTTCCAAAAGTTTGGGTGCCTTACAAGAGGTTGTGTGGAAGGCTTCACAAGCTTTTTTGGGCTTCGCGCTCGGCAGAAAGCTGGAAGGATTGATGAGAAATAGAGGTGTGTCGAATGGAAGTTGTGCTCTCGCCGACTTTCGGGCATCTACGGAACATGTTCAGGTAGGGCGTGAGGAGGTGGGCTGTGCCTATGACTATGGCAATTACCCGCAGAGCCGTTGGCGAAAATCAGCTCCGCCAGTTGTTCCAGCAGCAGTATGAGAAGTTCGACACCAACCGAAGCGGCCGCCTCCGCCTTTGTGTTCGGAGTTGAAGTCGCACGGACGAGAGGAAGCAGTTTTTGTGAGGTTCGACCTACTGCTAGGGCGTTCAGCAGAATTTCATGCGTCGGATGTCAGAGCAAGCCTTCAGGCAACGAGGTTCAGTGCCCTGCTAACGAGCCAGCTTCCATCAGTCCTGGACGCAAGTCCGATGGAAGCTGGGAATCGAAGTTTCTCAAATCTTTCTGCAGTTCATGTATGGCTAGAGGTCAAGGCTTGTGAACCGCCATGTCTTGGAAGCATGGCATCGGTTCTTCTTGTCTACGGACCTACACCTACATTTCCCAAAAATGCGCCCAGTTATTGAGTTCGCTGAGCTCACGAAGCTTGTCGGATGCTTTGCTGCACTGGTGCAGGCTTTGGCCTTTGGATTTCGGATCGCAGGTCATGGGGCCGAGCGGGTAACTGTCGTTATGTATGCACAGTAATCAACCTATAGTCGTATGCCGCAAAGTGCATGTGTGCATAATGTATGTATGTGTATATATATATATATGTAGTGTATACACACACACACCCACACACCTAGACCTGTGCATTGCCCAGGAGAAACATGACATGACATGGATAAGCACACAACCCAGCATTGGTGAGACACACCTGCGTCAGAGGTCTTTCAGGGCTAGCTAGCCGCGTCCTTTGTGTGGCCGGGGCTTTCCGCTCCTGCGTGGGTTTTAGTCCATGTGCTTTGAAGGCCACGGGTTTTTCAAGATTTTCCCACCCATCATTCTCGGATGAGACGAGGCCCTAGTCAGGTCGCTGTGCTTTTCAGGATCCGGGCTTGTGTTGTGCAAAGCCCTGCGGCCTTTCCAAGGTTAATTTGAACCAGAGGTCCTAGTGTCACACTACCATGTTCTTCAGCTTGGGATCGAGGCGTTGGGATTGAGACTGCTTCAAAGGCCGCTGAAGGAGCAGTACGTACGTACCCACTCAGAGTCCTGATTCCTGGAGCTCCATATCAGCACAAAACACACTGTCGCTAAGCCCAGTCCTGAACCCCTCAAGCTTGCACAACTCAGGCTTAGTTGGACCCGAAAGCCCTGAGCTTCGTGCTAGCTGTCGGTACGCCTTGTGCCCGCCTTGTGTGGGTCGAAGCGGAAAGCCTCCGAGGACAGCTTGGCTTCACCGTCAGCCAGGCTCGGGGCACAGAGGTGCCGTAATCAGTCTCCATTCCTTAGAGCAGGTCGGGGTTTATAGGCTTCTGGGGAGCAAACGTGCTAGGTTCGAGGGTTTGCTATATGTTTCCGGCCAGAACTTCAGTGCCCGGATGCATAAAGGGCCCAACAGCTTAGACTTGAAGTATTATCAGAAGTTTAAAGGACTACAAGTCTCCGACTTGATATGAGTCGGGGTCTGGACTCAATGTAGTGTAAGACGAAAATCGCACTGTGTCCTGCACCAATCGTGTTTGACTTGCGGAAGCGAAGTCGAAGCTGAAATGGCGATGTAGACTCTGTACACTTCTCCTTCACTTCGAGCTTGTTTCGGTCCTTCGGCCAGATATCCATTGGCACAGCTCCCATCGGAAGAGCTTTGCTTTGCTGTCCATTCCTACCTTCTGTTATGTCATGGGTTTCGGGCTTAGGGCAGATTATGTCATGGCAGCTTGCTAAGGCGGCAGTACAGGAGCTTCTGCACGAAAGTGAGGACACCCTCTTCGGCGTTGGCCGCAAGGACCTGGCACGCAAGGCATTCGAGACCTCCCCGGTTTGGATCGTCACTACGGATCTGGCTTAATCAATGCTTCTCGTCCACCCACACCCTACCTATACTCTTAACCCTAAAGCGTGGGGAGGACCATGTAAAATTGCATTGAAGCGCTGGTACTCGGGTCCGAGTTTTATGGTGGTCACCTCCCTGCCTAGCGTAGGTCCACGCAGCAGACCTCGAACCATATGCCTCGCCTAGAGTGTCCGAGTGCGAGCGCTGAAACCCGCCCCTCGACAAGAAGAAGCCGAGAGCCCTAAACCCTAAACCCAGAACCTGATTCTAAGCGAGTGTATCTGCAATCATTCCCACTAGATTGTCTCACTGATCAGACCTCGAACCACATGCTTCGCCTGGATTGTCCGAGTGTGAGCGAAGGATGGCAAGTTGGATTTCGATGAATTCGTCCGGAGCTTCCAAAGTGGGCTTTGGTCATCAGGGGCCCAGGTAGAGTGTTTAGCAGGTTCAGTCTTTCGGACCTGGGCTGCGGGCTTAGGACCTAGGATGTGAGTGTGGGTGGGGGTTTCTGTTGGGTTTCAGATTTCTGGCACTGAAGCTGCTGAGGCTTTTGAAATAGATGGTTGACTTCCAGACTGGTCAGTATATACATACATACTTCGCCGTGGCCATTTCACCTCGAGCCTGCCAGGGGTTGCAGAAGCCGTGTGCCTCGAACGAGGCCTTGGCGAAACTCGTTCCATCGTTGGAAGCCCATCTCCTGTGGCGTTCCCGTCACTGCACCACTCTGAAGACTAGTTTCTTGTCCCCTCCGGCCGAATATAAGGGCCTACTGACTACTGCCAGATGAGCACCAAGTAGGAGATTGAAACATTTCCACATTTCCCCCCCCCCCCCCCCCCCCCCCCCCACTATCACGAAACCTGGCGAGGTCTCATGGCAGACAAGCGGAAGAAGCTCTTCTACCCTGCGGGACCGCTCACAGCGCGACACACCAAGAAACAGGACGTGGTTTCGGTACCACGACTTGTCCATGGCTTTCTGCCGCAGACACAGTGACATGCTCCGCCGTGCTTACACAGCATAGGCAGCGACTACTCGTTTTGTTTCAGCATGCATGGCTTCCTGGATCGTTGTGAGATGTTGTGAGGGTCGGGTACTGAATTTGTCTTGACCTTCTTGGCTCAAGTGGGCCACTGTCTAAGACAGTGTGCCAGACATGCCGCAATGACTCAGAAGCTGGGCGCCTGTATTGGTGCCTCTATCGATGACAAGGGTGATTCAGCAGGGACCCCTCAAGACAATGCGGTTGAGGCGGATGCGGATCCGGAGATGGAGCGGGCCAGAATCTATCAGGAACGGGTCGTTGCCCACGTTATTGACCTCAAGCCCACGCGACCAGAGATGATTCGGGGAATACCTCTCTGGAAGGTCTTGCATCTTTTACCATGGCTTTGGATCAGAGGGTACAGCTGCAATTCCTGGTATGCCCTGAGCCACGTGGTCACACAACTTGACGAGTTCTGGTCCCACAGCTGGCAGGCAGCAGCGTGGCAACAGTATCTGAACATACTGATTCTGGGCAACGGCTTTGCTGCCCTTTTGGTCAGCAACCTCTCTGCCGTCTTGGCATACGCCCTGGTCATGGTCGAAATACTGCCAACTGATGAGGCGACGGATGGAAGCAAATGGTGCTCTTGCGCTGGCATCCTGTCCTACTATGTAATTCTGCTGGGCTACCGGCATTGGAAGATGATTTTCCTGGACATTGCATGCATCAACCAGAAAGACAGTGAGCAGAAGATCGGAGGGGTCCTGAGCATGGGTGCCATCCTAAAGTGCTCCAAGCGCTTGATCGTGTTGTGGGACCCAACGTACGCATGCAGATTGTGGTGTGTCTGGGAGCTCAGTGCCTTCCTCCATGCGTGTGGCAGAGATACGAGGAAGTTGACTGCTGTGCCACCTCTTTGGGGACCTGTGGTGGCCATGGGCCATGTGTCATTCAGCGTGGCTTCACTCGTGCTGCTTTATTCTGGACATGCGGGTGATGGGTCGGGCAGAATCCTGGTTCTCATCTTTGTAGTGCCTTGCTTCACTGCAGTTGTGCACACTCTTCGTTTATTTTGCCGCAACCTCGACAAGCTAGAACAACAACTCGGGCAGTTCACAATGTCAGATGCGCATAGCTCCTGCTGCCAACAGCGGTTCTGTGGCAAAGGGGTGGCTTGTGATCGTGAAATTATTTCAGGATGCATCTCTCATTGGTTTGGGTCAACACAGAACTTCGAGCACTACGTGCAGTCGGAAATGTGCCCAGCTCTGGTGCATAAGCTGGCAAATCAAGCTTTTTCATACCTCGTCTTCCTGCAAATCTGTTCGCCTGTCTGCTGGCACTTCATGGACAGATCGGCAGGAAACCGAAGATGGGATCAGCTAGGAGCGGTATTGACATGGTGGGTATGCGGGCTACCCATCACTTGTGCACTGACTTTCCGCTTGTCCTATCTACTCAGAAGCCGGTATTGGCGATTCATAGATATCTCGATCTCGTCAGCAGTTGTGATTTCTGTGACGTTGCCGATTCTTGGAGCTTCTCTTGCAAACGAGCAAGTCAGAACTTTGTACAGAGACCTTCACTGGGACATGCCTGACGCCACCTTCGGGGTTGCGTCGCTTGTCTTGACACTTTTGATATCCAGCTGCGTGCCTCCAGTCAGACGATGATCGTGACATGGGGTTTGCTGGTACAAGATACGACGCATGAAAACAAGTTTTAGTTGGTCCCTGGTTAATTAGTGTTGAACTGTGGTTGGCGGAGCTCTGGAGGTGCCTTGTGAGCCTGTCCGTCTGTCATACCCGGGGGTTGATGGTGTAGATGGGTGCTGTGCCGTATGCGTGAATTTATCCCCCAAGCTAAGTGCGAGTCGGAAGGTCGAAACCCGAACAAAACTTGACAGATGCTAGGGCTTGGAGGGGGAGAACCCTCGAGTTGCATCGCCGCGTTTGAGAATCTTTCTCAAACCTTTGTGATCCCTTGACCACAAGCCTTGAAGCTTGTTCCACGGCACCACAAGCTGAAGTGCCCTGCCTCAACCCCCAGACATAGAAGCCCAAACGGAAACGAATTTCTAAGCCCTTAGGGGAGTGGCTGGATTATCACTGAATGGTGTTGTGACCCTTGCTGTTCTCATCGTCATCACTATGCTTATGATCGTCATCGTTTCAAGCTTACTCCCCCAAACACCTGTACCATGCAGGCCCTTTGTTTGTAGATGGATGCCTGTCTACAGGTGTCAAACCATATTAAGCCCGGAAAAGTTTTCGCAGGAGTGGCTGGTTCCGGAGAGCGAGTCGGTTTGGTCGAAGAGCGGCCCCCCAACAAGCGAAGCCCGGAAACTTTGATGAAATGTCAGCTCAGGAGCTCTACAGGAGTTAGCATGTGAAGGATCGGGCTTAGGAATTTCGAGTCCTGGGTTGGGTGTAGTGGGCTTGGGAGTTTGGAAGTTGGTTTGAGGGGCTTTATGATTGCAACAAGGTTCCCTTTGCAGATCAGACAGCGCAGAGATTCCAAGAAGTGGATTGCAACATCCGCGGTGGTATGTGGTGTTCTGTAGTAGTCAAGGAACATCCAGGAACATCAACGAGCTTTGCTGTCCGAGACCAGAAGTGCTTAAGAACCGAGTCATTGGGTGAGTGGACTCAAGATGCGAAGCAGTTCAGGGCCAAAGGTTTAATCGTAACCATCGGACTAGCTGTGTAGGCCAAGCCTACTGAAAGAGGTTTGTTCCAGGAGCCTTTGTGCAGCTAGAGAAATGCCAGTCGCCCTGAGCCTAAAGCCTCATCCGAGGAAGTTGAAGAGTGACGTCGCCTTGCCTTTGGTGAATCTGAGTCTCGGATTGAACGCAGACGGGTTTAAGGCTGAAAAGCACCATTTGCAGGGTTTCGGGTTCACTGCCTACTGTATAGGGGCTATGCCCTCCATTCCGACAGACATGAAGTCCCACGACCCGTCGGACTTGTAAATTGTGAACCGTCCTACAGAGTAAGATGTGAGCACGCTCCAATGTTTTCAGTTCTCAGGTTCGCCTTCGTGGGTGTTTGACAGTGTCCGTCAAGGATTTCAACTGCAATGTAGGGGCCTTAATACTTAGAATAGGGTTTGGGCGCTATAAAATACTATGATCATAATAAGGAACCCCCAACACCCAAATCCAACTATTTAGGCCCCTACATCAGAACCCGGGGAAATCCGGACGGCTTTCAGGAATGATCCAGCGCGCAAAGCAGCGAAGGCGTGCGTGGACATGCGGCGAGACCTGTGCCTCGGAGGCAGCCCAGTACAGACTTACGGGTTGAAGCTTTACAGGCTACCGATTATGGAGGGTTTCAGATACAGAGGGGTCTCATATCTTCTGTTGTCGATATACTGTTATGGCTATGCAGTATATGCATATCATATGCCTGAACCCTCAAATCAACACTATTCTCTACTGTCTCGAGACGGTGTGACAAATATGTAGCCGCTGCCTCCCAGGAACACTTTGGTTCGGCAGAGAGGTGGCCGCACCCCAGCCGGTCTCATTCTGCAGCCGGACTTCGAGAAAGACCCTCAGGTCATCCTGCTCCTCTTCTTTCTCCTCTCTTGTTGCGGTTTGGATATTCGTATCATAATCTCATTTCTATGCTTGTGATTCTAACGGTGCTTTCGGCCATAGTACCCGTCCCGAGACATGGGCCGTCTCTTTCGTCCTGAACTTTCTTAACATGGGTGAAGGTCTGAAGCTGAGCCGTAAGCTTTTGCATGCAGTACACCTCGTTTCCATGTAGACACCTCAGGCAGTCAAACGTTACGGGATCTTGCAGGTTGAGCAGAAATCGCCGGACGAGTACCTCGTAGCTCGCTATGAGAAGGAAGCCCTCCGCCCGTGCAGAGCTTGCTTAAGTTTCATGCAGGTAAGCATTGCAATAGGCTCCTAGACGTGACCGACTGTTCCCGAAGCACGCTACCTTGAGGCGTGAGGCAGCATTGTAGTTGCAGGCGTGCTGCCTAGGCCCTAGCAATCCGGTGTTGCCAACGAACTCACTCATTTAGCCATTTCGCATGCTTTCGCCTGCCATGCAGTGTACACAGTTTGCCAGAGCCGAGCAGCGCTTGGGGATTATAAAGGTCAATATGCTATACAAAGTTGTTACGATACAGCTCCCGGCTCGGCTGGATCAGATATTCTGAAGGTGAGTTGGCCCGGGGCAAGCGTCAGCAGCAAAATGCAAGGTGCTAAATCTGTACAATGTCTTGAATATGTCATATTGAGCAGAGTTTTGTTGTGTTTGAGCAAGGTTACCCCTGAAAGATATGTATATCTTGGAAGAGATATCGCTCATGACAGTCTGGTGGCGGAGTGTCCCTGAACCACAAGAAGGCCTTTTATGGGCAACCACCAAACTTATACGCATTGTCTGTGCTGCCACTGCAAACCACACACGTCGATGCCTAAGACTTGTGTCATCTCCAGACCTCGCATGAAATCTTATGAACTCAGTGCGCAGGAGGGTGCAGTCCAGTCGGTCGCAGTTTTCCACGATCGCGACCCCGCGCGCTCTGAACATGAATCGAAAGCGAAGGCTTGGGACTGACAAAGGTATGTTTGGGTTTCTGCTGGGTAGATGTGGGGGTTTCCGGATCAACCAGTTCGACTCCAACAGATTGCTTGGTGGTCCGAAGCTTGCAGCTGTTGGAGTTGGCCGATCACGCCTTACGAATTTCCTACAACACAGACAGGACATCGAAAACGTGGAGTATTTAAGGTTTGACTTTTGTGCGGGCAGAGCTTGCAAGATAAGGGGGCTACTGTAGGGGCCGTAGCAATCACCCATACTATTCTGGGGGGTTCCTTAATTTACTTGTAGTCAATTATAGTAAAATGGGCCCCAAAACCCCTAATTAGTCTTTTAGGCCCCCATTTCCCGCCTCTGTCTTGCAGACAGGTCTGCCCTCTGCCACAGTACGTGGACGAGTACGGTGGCCGCTTGGCAGCAATTTGAGGCTGGTAAGAGTCAAGTTTTTGGCTTTGGGCAGACCTGTCCGAGCTGCACATTTTGTTGGTCTTGCACTCCGGAAGCGTGCTCACGGCCAGGCAATGCCCGCCGGAAACAGGTCAACTAAGCTTGGAGTTTGGATTGCCCTGCAACCAACATGTTGCCTGAGCGAGGTCTCGGCATCATGAACAAGGACAGGGATCTGAAGGAGTGTATCGCCAGGGTTGCAGGAATGCGAGCGCAAGCCTGCGACACATTTTAGGTTTAGAGTCTGGAGTTTACGTGTAGTATGTCCGCGAATCCCAGTGCAGGATGTCTATAGTATCCTGGCCGCCAACCACAAGGCCCGTGGCATGGTCTTCAGTTAGATTAGACAGTTATAGTTACGATAGCTTCACTTGCAATCTAGGAATCTAGTATACCCTAACCAAGATACTTATATCCATACTTACTGGGTCCCCCGATCCATTCCGTGAGACGTCACTCACAGTATAGGATGAGAGAACCGAAACACCGGGTTCCTTTCTTGTGTAGGAGCAGCTCTGGAGCATATGGGTCACAGGGAGCCCAGACGAATCCGAAGTTGAGATAGCATCTTTTTCCGTGGGACGCAGGAGCTTTTAAGCATATTCCATGATTGTTTAAAGCAGGCTTCCCCGTACCCTGACACCATCAAACTTAAACGCAAGACATCAGCGGTCTGCGTCTGCCAGAGGTAGAGGATCGGGACCTGTGGGATTCCCTGGAGTGCCCTGGTCGACGAGAGTTGCTACGGGTTGCGGGGTTTAAGGGTTTGGGGTGTGTTGCGGCTTCGTGGTTCGGTTTGTTCTTGTCATTTCCCTGGCGCAGTGTGCGATTTGCATCATTTCAGGCTCAGTGGTTGATTCAGACATCTCACTCCCTTTCGATACGCTGGATGCAATGGATGTTGGCAGGTATAGCTCCTTGACAAGTCAGGGCGATGTCTTCGCCAAGCCCCTCGGAGCAAACAATCCAAAGCATGTTTAGCATTTGGGTTGGAATCCAGGATGCCGGTTTTTGAGTTTCGATGAAATTCGATCAACATCCGCTGAGGGTCTTGACAAACAGGAAGAAGATGCAGTAAGCAGTTTCGTGCTCACATCGCGCCTTGAGCGATTTCAAGTTTTCCGTGGACTACATCATTACATCACAGATGCCTTCGTCCGGCGCTTTCGGGCTTGGCTGGGCTCATGGGCCAAGTGGGTAGCCGTTGAAAATGCAGGCGTTGCTGCTGTATGTTTGTGCAGCCTACTTGTTGTCTCCCTCCTATAAGCTGCAGACCCTGAGCTGAGCTCAGCTGAGGACAATGGCGAAACTCAACCAGCGCCGCGCGTTGGACGATGCCGGAGGCTTGCGGGTTCTCTGAGCAGAACGCTCTGTTGGGCCAGGCTCTGGGTTGGAAGGGGTACATGAGCACAAGGGACCCGCTTTTCAGCGTGCAGGGTCTCCCAAACTGATTGTGTTATAAGCAATTGCTTGAAATTCTGGGGGTGTTGAGAGCTCTAAAACTCTAAAGCCCACGGGTGGGACCTTCGGACATTGCAAAATTTTGTTACAGGGCAGTCTGCACAACTTGTGTCAGACTTGCTCAACTTGTGCATGTCAAGGTAGCACTCCCCCACATTCTTTCCAAATCCGACTCTCCCAGACTCGCGGAACACTCACTTGCAGACTTGCGTTTGCAGGAGAAGAGCCGCGCTGAACCACAGGCGCATTTCTCGCCTCCTTCCGCAGGAACTCTAGGTTCCAAGTAGCTCTCTGCAGGGCGTGGGCCCTTGAAGCCGATCTCCGCATCATCATAGAAGTAGTAGCCGTCGTCCGAACTGTAACGAGCCTCGTTTGCAGAACATCGCAGATGTCCTCATAGCTGCTGGCAGGGCCGGCATCCTTCGGCCAGGGCATGGAAAAATCAATGCACAAGACATGGAAAGATAAGGCTGACGGCTTTCTCCCTGCATGTTTCACCCAAGGTTGGGGGCACCTGAGGTAGCCCCAAGAAGGCCGTGAGTAGGCTTTGGACTCATATCAGCAGACATGGTCGGGTTCATGAAGACGTACCCAAGCAGGATTGAAGCGTTTGTTTGAGGGCTGCAGAAAAAAGCCACAATGCCAATGCATCAAACAGGGCCCGGAGTTTTCGATTTCCAATGCGGAGCATGTAGACCCGGATGGTGACCTAGCCGTGCGCGCTGCGCGACTTAGCTTCACGGACGATGAACCCCGTATTTCTGTGCCTGCTCACGGCCTTTATCCTGCCGGCCGTACGGAAGCTCGAACTGCCATGCGGAAAACGGCTCCGCGGGGTTGGGGTTGACATCAGTGCTGTGCTTGCATAGCAGAAGCGATATTGTTGTGAGAGAGGCTTGATTATCTGCATGTGCTGACCCTATGAGCCTGGAACCGAGGTCAATTTCATGCTAAAGCTGCGCACCAGGGAAGGATTTAGTTATGCTGGACCCTCGGTGCTGCTTCATTCTTCTCAGTCCGAACATGTTCGATCTTAGCTTCACTTCGCTGCTGGAATACTCCTCTGCTACTGATTATGCAGTATTACAGAGTTGGAGTGCTTGAAGCATTGATGCCAAGATTTCGCAACTTGGGCTCCGTGCAAAGTCAGATCTTCACCTCGTAGGAGCGCACATATCTCCGGTGAGTTCAGGCCCAAGTCAAGGAATTCAAGGAGGTTTTCGACAAGTTCGATGACAACGGCAATGCAGAGGTGCAATGGCGCCGTTGGAGCGCGGGTAGACGTAGAATGCAGAGCAGGGCATCGACAACAACCCGATGCACTTCCAAGACTTAGTCGTACAAACCGCCGTTCAAAACAATTAGAAAGTTTCAATGGTCTGCAGATTCAATGCCACTGGGAACGTTTTGGTGTGTAGCCTAGGCCGTGCGAATTCCAGGATCTACGGCTCTCAAGAATCTGGCTTCAGCTTAATTAATTCCCAATTGAACTTGGATGTTGCAAGATACCTCAGCAAGCGGAGGGAGCCCCCAAAAAGTAAAAGATCATTTTCCAAGCCCTGACTGTGCTCTTCGTCACCGGCTTGTCAGCAACGGAGAACTTTAAGAGTTCGATCTGCTTGCATGCTGTTGCAAGCGCAAGGTGGAGGTTCTGGAGCTGGCAGACATGTTGAGGCCGGTTGACGATGAGGGCAGACTGGCCCGGCGTTCGACCACTTCAATGCAGGGAGGAGGTTTGTTAGTCCTTGTTTTACATTGGGCCAGACATGGGGGAAGGCCGCAGCGAAGGTTGCAGTATTGGTTAATTGCATATCACCCCAGAAGTTAGCACGAAGTCCTCGTCTAGAACCCAGGACGTGCAAGCTCTTTCCCAACAAAATGCGTGCACAGCTTCGTCCCAAGCCCGCGAAAGCCATGACGTGACGTGGAAGGCACTTGGGCCACATCGTTAAACTTGACGAGCTCCAGGTGCTGATCAGCCAGGCATCGTTATAAGGGCAGATTTCGGGGCTTTCTGACAAAGGCATTCGGGTTTCCAAACTGTTCCTCGATGCAGCCAGCCTTGGATCACAGCAGATCGCTACGACCTGCATGGACGGGGCGACACGTTCAAATTTCCGAGTCTTCCATTGATGACGCATCGGCTTGCCGAAGCATCTTAAGGCTCGGTGGATGTGGCAATATGAGTTTGCACGCGTGGCAGAGAAGCGGAAGGTGGAGTCTGGCAAGAAAGCTATGTGTCGCTAGTGCGGCTCGAAACTCGCGAGGGGTTCGGCGACTGGTGCTACCAGCTTCTGCATTCAGCAACATCCTAGAAGATGCAGGCGAGACAGCTGCAGCCTACAGTGGACATCCGCTTGCCCAACTTACTCCAGCAAGGAGGGGGCAAGTGCTGCAAGATGTGGTGCAGTCTGTTCTGCACAGATGCTACCGTGGTGAAGTGGCAATGCCACAACCTAGGTTGAATGCCCGCGGGAATGCATGTGGGTCGCATCAGGCAGAGTATGACTTCAGCCTGGATGGTAGACGAATCGAATGCAAGAGCGCACAGCTCTACTGGTGTCGCTGCAAAGCCCAGTGGCAGGCACAGTTTCGCTGCGTCAAGCTACATCGAAAAGTACACGCCCAGCCACCTCCTGATCCTCCAGCACGATCTTTACACCCTGGTGCACGGTCAGGGTAAGATGGATGCTGAACGAGGTAGCAGTATTCGTGTTGGGGGTCCACAGCACGAGAGATCTTGGAGTGTAGCTGCCTGTCGTATCAGGGAGCGCTTGTTGAATCCAGCAAGCAATTGTCGATTTGTGGCTCGACTCGATGCAAATGGACCTGAGATCACCGAAGGCTTATCACGAGTGTTGAGATCCTCTGCCGTGCAGCGTAGTCACCGTGCTTTTGACGGAACGCCGCTTCAACATGCTAGCCCGACCGTACGAGGCTTGCGCGTTGAAGCCTTGGCTTTCGAAATCGACAAGATGTTGAACGCCAAAGCACGCTTTCGCAGAAGTTTCAGTGAGAAGGCAACTGCCAGTTGCTTGAAGGGGCTGCCGGCATTTAGTTTCGATTGGCTCAGGGATGATGTCCGAGTCGAAGTGAAGCACAGCAGGCTCCATTTCAACGAATCTCGTGGACTTTGGTTCTGCTGCTTCGACAGCATCAAGACGGCTTCTGCAAAATCTGGGACAGCCCAAATGTTCGACGAGCTGTGGCTGGGAGTGTTCAGCCCCATGGGCTTGCATTTCTTCAAGGGCAGCTCGACTTTCAGGCCCACCTGGGCACGTGGATGTGAGGGAGCACGCTTGAAGGCTTCTGGCCCGGCCAACGAGCCCGACATACACGTGGCCTTGGAGCATATTCTCCGCGAGCTGACTGACAGCGGCTGTTGCCTCATTGCGACCGTTCTATTCGATCGTCATCTCCATGCACCTGGCTCTGCACGGAGTTGAGACCGTTTGCAGGTTCTGGGCAATTGCTGTGTGGGTAACGATGCGAAGGTTGCGCTTGTCATGTAGGCTTCATAAGAGGGGGCGATGCTGGAGATGGCAGACAGGCGAATTACGCAGCAGCGTGGATTAGCACTGCCCTGTTGTCCATGCTGCCGCATGGAGAGCGTGGGCAGTGCGGATTTTGCTCAAGGTCAGCCGAGTTTGCCGGTTTTTTACTAGCGGAGCCGGAATATACTAACGCTATGAATCTATGGGTCACTATGCAGGATTTCTGCCTCGGTCTGTCCAATTCCGACTGCCACGTCGTGATGCCGGTGAATCGCTTCCCTTGAATGTTAAGCCGTTTCGAGACAGACAGGTAGGGGACATTAGTACTGCCCTAGTTGTCTTAGCAGCATATCCCTACTTGTGTCTGGGTACTGCTAACAAGGAGGAGTGTTGATAGGGCTGTGGGGTGCTCTCTCTGGCTTTCCGGTTTGGGTAGCAGGAGTGGGGCGCGGAGGGATTAGCAGAAAGCCCAACCGACCTGACGCCTGAAAGCCTGAAACCACCGAATGTTAAGCGTTCCAGGCCGAAATCCAACTTTGATATTCGGGGCATGGTCGGGGAGGGTTTTTTGCTTCGGCCTCAAGCTTGAATCCTCGGTTGACTGGCAGCTGTTGTGCAGGGCTGGAAGTGTTCACCCTTGAATTGGCCTTGTTGCAGGTGGACTTCAATGGATCCGGTGCATTAGAGTTCCAGGAGTTCTTGCGGCTCATGCCTGGGACTCGACTTTGATTGATGCCTCGAATCATGATTCGACCCAGCTTTATGGGTCTCTTCCATGTGTCAATTCCTTCAAACCTCAAGCTTCCCACTGCCGCCTCGTCAGTTCTATCTGCATCACGCAGCCCCTGAGGCGCATCCACCGGGAGGACGAAGTGAACACGCACCTCAGCTGGCAGCGAGGGGGCTGTTCCGCTTATAACATAACAACAGTTTCGGAGACGAGCAGCTCTGTTGGCACATGTAAACAAGACTGTTGCTCAGATCGTTCAAGCTCCATTGCTGAAACGCCAGGATTTACAAGGTGTACAAGGAGTTTGAAGAAGAGTCGCCAGCGGCCCAGTGGAGTCTCCCAGCCGGGCGAAAGCACGAAAGGGAGTTCTGCAACTGCAACTGTTTATGGAATGCCAAACATGGACAGCTCGTGCGTTCCCTGCCAGCAAGCAAGTTGCACTCGGACTGAATCTGGGCCCGGTCGTCAAGCGTGATCACAGACGCTGTCTGTCTCCCTCCAAGGATTCAGGCCATGCCAAAGGCTGGTCACACCGGGGAGATATGTCTGAGGATCTTTCAGATCTTTCAGGGTCGGGCTTCCGCTGTTGGACCGGGAGGCTCGCTTAGAGGTGTTTCGTGCCTATCCGAGACGAGTGTAGTTGTAGATCCTGGGTGCGGATGTGAGCCCCTAGACCGTCTGGTCAGACCACGCGCTGCGGCATATGCATGGTGAGAGATTTACGAAATGTGGCCTGACACGCTGCAGTAACTTAACCCCGAAGCAGATTGTTTCAAGATGCCATATTATGGCTCGACTTGTATGTGAAATGGGCATGTAGCGTGCTACTTGTACTTACTTACCGCTTGGCAACACCACCAGAGACTTCCAAAACACGAAGCCGCCTTGGCTGGTCAGTCGGAGCTCTCCTCGGCAATGAAAGCCCTGGGCTACTCAGGCACGTGGTCTGCCGGTAAGCAAAGGTTCTTTTCGACAGTGCTCACAGGTCATCTTGGGAAAGAGACATTTCACTGGCTGCAGCACAACATGGGGCCGGAGACAAGTCTCAGTCCGATCACGGCCTTTCGGCTCCCAGGCTTAAGCAATATAGAGTCAATACAGAGTATAGATGTAGATTAGTGCGCTCGGATTCAGCAGCATCAGCTCGAACCCCGGCCTACGGGTGCACCATTCCACCAGAACTCCGCGACACCATAGCTCAGACGAAGCTGGATTCTAGCGGCACAGCGGCCGTTGCATGAGACAGATACAGGAAACAGAAGACAGGAGGCTGAGAACATGCTACAGTCTACAGCAAGTGGATCGAACACACGCCAGCGCAGGATAGCCTTGGCCTTGAGTCGTGCGGGACCGGCTCATGTCCTCATGCGGCCCTGCTCGCTGTTGGGTCCCCTGTTGCTGCTGACGGCATGGCGAGGCATCCGTGACAAACATCCTTTCTCAAGACACAGCAACATCGTTTGGATTGTCTGTAGTGCTCTTTGGAAAATTGAAAGTGATTGTAGAAGTTCAGCACAAGCCCAAGAAGCCTGCAACGAGATTAGAAGCGTCAAGGGCCTTCAGTGCCAACGAATAAACGGCTCTGCATAGTGATAGTGATGATGTCCGTCCTCATTGAAGCCCCGGGTCCTGGAGGCGCCCTGGCGCAGCAGGAGACTGCCGAAATCAGCTCCGAGCTGTGCAACGGTTCGATGCTGAGCGGAAAGAAGTGCCGAAGACATACCTGCGCTATTCCTGCACTCCTTAAATGCTGTCTGAAAATGATCTTGGAATTTCAGTCGCCGGAAACCGGCAAAAAAGAACCGGAACCATTGGATTAGATCCGGGGAGCCAGGATCAGGTTGGGAGATAGGCCTCGAAGTCCAAAGATCGAAGCCAAGGAGTTCCACAGAGAGGCAAGAGAAGTGGGAGGCTCTGGTGGCGTGGATTCATGCCCGAGGCCCGAAGAGCCTCCAGCATTGCGATGCTGGGGGAGTTGGGGAGTGCGGCCTTTTTGGCTTAGGAGAGTTTGGTGCCACGAGGCAATATGATGCGATAAGAGAAAGCGGAAATCGTGGTGCAGTCGCCATGGGCCAGGTGGCTATGTTCATTCCAACCTGGAGCTAACAGATGTACATCACGGCGGCATCCGCATGACGGGACTTGCCACAAGCGTGGGCCCCATTTTTTAAGTGTAACACTTGTCGTCGAGCAACACTTGGTGGGTCGATCACAGAGCGGTAGTGAGATCCGGGCGGTTGTTCCCAAGCGTTATCTGGGTTCCTTTAATCTCAGAGCCGCAGCCACGGGTCTCCTGTGCCGACCGAGACGAGACCTTAGGTGCACCTATCCCGGAGGATACAACAGTGATGGAGCTGCCTCCCGAGACCCTCTTGAACCTGACTTCTGGCTGCATGTCAGAAGGTTGGTTGATGCCCAAGGAGAGCAGTATCTAGAGGAGTGTGAATGCTGCTTCTAGACACAGTGCACTGCGATGCTGCTACAACTCCAAGCCCAACCCCCCTCCAATCAGGAATCTTCTTTCCACGCTGCCAGAGGACCCTGGGTTTGAGGGCATTCTGACCGGGTCTACTGCTTCTGAGTTTTGATCCCATTAAGCGAGAAGCCATGACTCTTGTGGGCTGCACTGTATCCCTCCTCTGCCGGTTGTGGTCACCATCTTAGCAGTCCCGCTGACTTCAGCTGCACCTGTCGCGAAGTACTCAGCTTTTGCGGAGACGATGCCAAACTGCGCCTCAGCAGCAGGCAATACGAGACACAATCCATGTTTTTCTAGGACTCTAGGATGTCGTTTCTGGACTGTTCCCAAGACCAGCTGAGGCACCCTCACCCGCGGCCTCCAGCGCTCTCTGCGTCAGCTGAAGGCATCTTGACACCAGCGTGCGGGCTCAAGGACTTTCGCGCCATTTTTGTTTGAGGGTCGTGCCTCACCGTAGAGACAGCTGAAACAAGGCTGCTTAACCCACCGCAAGAGGGCTGGAGTGCCAGAAGGCACGAATGATAGATAGCATTGGTCTCCCGCCGTGGAGCCAGGCAATGATGCTGCTTGCGGTGGAGAGGTCGAAAGGCAGCGTGGGCGTTCCATCGTGTTTCTTACGTATCCATTGCTGCTAAACGGAGAAGAATGGCCATACAAAAATGTATAATCCGTTGGCAGCCAAATTTTCACAGATGCAGCAAACAGCATCTCTTCCACGGCAGCCAAGTACACGAGACTAGTTCGCACATCTATTCAACAACTTTGCGTAATCTTGGTCTCTTAGTCTTAGCATTGTGAGCAGTGCAGGTCGGGCGTCGGACTTCGTCGCGTACTTCGATCTTCTGCCATCGCGTGCTGAACAAGAGGAGAGCGATCTCTTCTTCGCAGGCCTGGGGCCTCCTTGCTGGCATGTCTTGGACCACAGGGGGCTGGGAGAGGCTTCTGGCCCCTCAGCTGCCATATCGCTCGGCCCACTCTGCCCGGGGGCCCTGAAGGTGAATCTATCCTCGAAGACTTTGCCATGCTGCCCGTGGCGAAGTTGCATTCTTTGCAAGTGCCCGCAAAGGGAATCGTTTGCAAGGGATGTGGCCTCCTCCTTCTCCAGCTATAGGTCGTCAATTTCTGGCGGCGGATACAGAAGGAGCAGTACCAGGAGTTGGCGCCCGGCACGCAAGCAGCTGGTGGGTCAAAGCCACGTCCGATGAATGGCCCAAGTAGCACAAGTAGCTTGCAGCCTGGCCACCCCCAGGCCAGTCCAATTGCGCGGCTTTAGAATAAGGTGTCAGTCATTTATCCCCAGGAAAGCTGCTTTCACATCTTACGCGGCCTGCTTCATGGAGTAGAGGTGGAGTGGAAAGTGCCCTGGACGAAAGGACTTCAGACCTTTGGCCTCGAATTCTTCAGCATTCAGTCCATGGACTTGTTGCAGATGAGGGTGGAGATGCCGAGGGGTCGCAGTTTCAGTCGACAGCCCAAATTTTGATGGACGGTGTTGCATTGCATTTTATCTTACGAGTCTAGAAGGCTCACAGATGCCTGCAATGAGTCCGGGACCTAAGGATGTGGAGGGCCTGCTTCGGATCCACGGTAGTCGCGGCTTGCCCGATTTCAGACGAACTGCGGTGCTCGTGCCGACACTCAGAGCAGGCTGATCCCGACTCCTTCTCTCGCTCGTCTGACACGACAGTGCAATGAGGGAGAGTGCCGCGGCTCAGAATGCATCACACCTCACAAATAAGGCCACTTCAATGCCAAGCCTGCCGATGTCGAGTTTCTGGCCCCAGCTGCGGACATGGCAGCTCGGCAAAACATGACGGGTGTATGGCAGATCCTTAAGAACCGGCAGGCTGAGTTCAAGGTGTCCCCTGTAAACAGGCAGTGTCAGTTAGCCGGTTATCATACCTCCGCGATGCCACACAGCGCGCAGGGGAGCAGACAGAATCTAGCTCGCCTGCACATGAACCGTGTATGTAGGGCTCACTCAAACACGTACCCTCAGGGGTCATGGCACCGAGAGTAACCTCGAGGTCTAGCCTTCTCGCGTGGCACACCGCTTCTTTTTGATTTCCGAGGTGAACACCGGCAGACCGGAGCAGCTGAACCTCAGCCCGGCACTGATCATGTCAAGCCCGGATGTGCCGCAGGCCACATTGAGGCCAAGTTGCTTTCTTGGGGGCATTTGGGGGGCGGGGAGCTGGGGACTGAAGGACTTCGGGCTCAGAGGTTCTTTCTGAGCGGTTTGAGGCAGACGGGCTCGGACCTCGCCTGGTGCCCTGAGTGGCAAGTTCTACTCGTGGTGGGTTTGGTGCTCTCTTTGCTCTCAACAGAGCGAGCGATGCCGTATCCAAGCTGTTGGATAGATCGAGTTTCACGCCATTGCGTCAGATGTAGGAGACCGCGACATCGGGAACTTGAACAACTCAACTGCCGTCCACGAGAGGTCGACGGCTAGACTCCTAGGCTCTAGATGGTGCTGGTAGCATCACCATCCACAACACCAAGCTGAGTACCAGCAGATTACCCTGACCATGTCACTGCAAAGTACCTCCATACGCCTTACAAAGGGTGTTCCATTGTTGCTGGAAAGAAAGGAAAGGACGATAACTTCGGACAAACAGCCAGTGAAAAGCCGATATGCAGCTCTTCACCTGCGGGGTTGTTGAATCCAGAGGCTTACCGCCTCGCGCTTCATCGCTCCGGGAGAAGAGCTGATCACCAGCTACTTCGATAGCCTGGACAACGAGGAGATGCAATCGGGCGGGGGCACAGTGGAGTTGCGACGCTTTACCATGCATGTGCAAGGAGTTCCATTCAGTCATGGAGCGGTGATGTCGGGTCTGCTGTGACTTATATATGCTGGTCAGCGCAAGACCGTCGCTAAAGGCTTGTGCTAGGTAGGTAGTTAGTCCTCTAGTTGCCCATAGTCGTCCAAGAGAAGTGACTCGCTCTGCGCACAGCATCCAAATCCGCCAGGATGTCCTTTTCAGGCAATGCGGGGCCGAAGCTTTGTGAACTTGTGGCAGTCAGCTGCATCCCCTGGCATTGTTCCTTCCCGGCCTGGGTCTGCTGAAGCTTGGAAGGTGGAATATGTACCTGGAGGGGAACCCCGAGATACTGGATGCGAGTGATGCATCTCCGGCCGAACAGCATGAAGATGCTTAGACTTTCGGGCTGTCTGCTGGAGCTAGAACTGGGCAGATCAAGACTAATCCATAATCATAGAAGGGGTTATGGATTACAGGGATTACGGATTAGAAACAAAACCCTAGGGTTTAAAGTGTATGGTGTTGAAGGTTCCAAAATAACTTGAATATTTGGGGTTTGGAGGTTTGACTGGATTTAAAGGGTTTTAATTAGTGATTAGTATAAGCATACCACCCCCAAACTGCTCCGACCACTACTACTACTGGTACTACTACTACTGCTGCTGCTGCTACTACTGCTGCTGCTATATGCCCTGGTTCAAACACCTAGGATGTTTTTGCTTGCTGTTGGAACTGATCAACATCTCATGTCGTTTCAGTGGGCGAAACAAAGGCTTGTGTGTTCCAACACTTCCTAGCATGAAGTCTGTCAGAAGTGAACCCGCCGAATTTAAGCATATAAGTAAGCGAAAGCTTCTGCCTTGCATTGTGGCCTCTGACATGCTACCAACGGCGGCGCGAGCAGCACATGGACGCCTGGGCTCCAGGCCCCGATATTTTCAGGGTTTGGGCTTGAAGGTTTAGTGTCAGGGCCCAGGGTTTTGGGCTTATTTAGTAGGGTTTAGGTGGGGGTTAGAGGGCCTAGGGTTTGGGGGCCTAGTGTTGGGGCTTTAGGATTTTAGGGGCTAGATTGGGTATTTAGGGTTTGGGGTTTAGTTTTATTTAGGGCTTAAGGTTTGGTCATTTTGGGTCCATACCCTAGACCCTGGAACCCTAAACTTTGAAACCCCAAGCCTGAAGCCCCATAATCTGAAACTCTTTTTATTGGGGGATTTTCTTAAGGGCTCAGGGTTTCCAGTACTATCTAAGACCCTAAGCTACTAGAAACTTAAAAGAACTCTTTTTATTGGGGGATTTTCTTAAGGGCTCAGGGTTTCCAGTACTATCCTACTAGAAACTTAAAAGCTCTGTAGTGTGAAACTATAAACTTCGAAACCCCAAACCCTAAACCCCTGGGTCCTTGAGCGGCATCCTTAAAACTTATTGGGGCATGGGGGTTTAAGTTTGGGGCTCAAGGGTTTCGGGGTTTAAGGTTTCCGTGTTCAGGGTCAGTGGGTTTGGGCTTTAAGATCCGGGTTCGTGGCTTGGGGGGTTTTGGGGTTCCCTAAGTAGGCCCAAACTGTAAACACCAAAACCTTAAACCCCCAAACTCCCGAAGCTCCGAACTCAAACCCTTAAACCCTTAAGCCCCAAAGCCCTTTAACCCAAAACCACGCAGATTGGCGGCCTTCTTCCTCATCTTCGCTTCCTGCCTGGGGTCCTGGATGCCGGGGTTTTGGTTTCAGGGATTTCGGATTTAAGATCAGTGTTCAGGGTCTAGATCGTCCGTAAGGACGTCGTCCGCAAGGACGCGACCGCAAGGTCGAAGAGGGTTCGTCCGAAAGGACGTCGTCCGTAAGGACGCGACCGTAAGGTCGAGGGTTGTCGTCATTGTAGGTGCAAGGTCAGAGGTTCAGGCACAAGGCTATTTTTGACTTAGAGCATAGTTTTTTCTCTTTTTTTTTTTACGTCCGAAAGGACGTCGTCCGCAAGGACGCGACCGCCCGGTCGAAGCACCCTGTCCGCTTGGACATCGTCCGTAAGGACGCGACCGTAAGGTCGATGCATCTAGATCCCCACAGTTGTCACCCCCCACCCATCGCAAACCAAAAAAAAGCTCGAAACCAAACCCCCAACTCCTTCATCCCCTAAACCGTAAACCACTAAGTAATGTCAGAATGAATGGGTGGAGATTTTCCGATTCCCACACTGTTGCCTTCCTCAGCCTCTAACCACACCCTAGTCCTTAAGGTAACCAAAGGCCTCGTAATCTAATTGGTGATGTGCGGATGGGCGTGAACGAGATTCCCACTTAACTGTTGCCCTCCCTCAACCCCTAAACCCTAAACCTCTAAAGCCTAAACCTTTACGGCACCCAAATGGCGCGTCACAAGGTTGACGTGCATGAGTGGTGGGAACGAGATTCCCACATTGGTGCCCTCGTTGAAGCCTCATCCCTAATTTCTTTACCTCAGCCCAAACCCTAATAAGGTAGGCAAAAGCATCATCATCTAACTGGTGACGTGCATGCATGGATTAACGAGATTCCCGTACTGTTGCCTTGCCTCAACCCCGAAACCCTATTTTTTAAAGCTCTAAACCATTATTGAGGTAGCCAAATGCCTCGTGGTTCGTGAAGTGCATGCATGGAGTAACGAGATTCCCACGGTGTTGCCCCAAAACCCTAAATCTCTAAACCCTCACGATCAAGGTAGCTAAATTTAAATGCTTCGTGATCTGATCTTAGATGACGTGCATGTCTGAATGGATCAACGAGATTCCTTCTGCCCCCCCACCTACTATCTAGCAAATCCACAGACAAGGGAATGGGCTTGGGAAAATCAGCGAGGATTGAAGACCCTGTTCAGTTTGATTACTAGTCCGACCTTGTAGGAAGTGTAACAATGTGGAAGCTTCGATGGCTTTGAAACGCCACTACATACTCCTAATGTCATTTAACCGGATAAACCAGTAGCCCTGGACCCCCGTGCTACTACACGGGACACTCCAACAGTAATATCCAAACGATGACAAAGCCTCAGATCCTTGCAGAAAGTCAAGCTCCCACCCGACTATGCCTCCGATCGTGAAATCAATTTAATGAGCGTTTCCTTCCTTGGCGTCTCAACTTCCCTGCGGCCAGGTTCGTTCGGCGTCTGGAGTGCTGGCAGCTGGTCCACGAGGCGCCCGACAGCTATTATATAGTCCATATACTAGGCTGTCGGGTAATTTTGGGTTCAGGTTAGCCCTACAGGGTAATCCAGGCTCTGGTCCAGTGGAGGGTTTTCTGGAGCATGTTTCCTTCTCGAACAGGCTTTTGAAACAACCTCTGGCTGTCCTTGCAGTCGTGGCTCTGAGCCGAGATTGATAAGGCAAGTGCCCCAGCAAAATCCACAGGAGCTTCCGAACTTCAAACTTGCGATTCTTTGAGAACTTATCAATCAGAGACAAGAGCGAGAGGCATGTGAGTCAGATCTCGATTATCCCAAGTGCGTTCGCTGGTCTCTGCGATTCATGGCTCCGAAAAAGGGACAGAACTCCGACTACCAGCGGTGCAAGAAGTACTTCGGTGCCGCTGAGCTTGAAGTCTGGCAGTAGTAGGAAATCCCAACAGACTAAACTCTTGATCAAGATTCAGAAGAGGGAATTCTAGCAGTAAGTATCCTTAAGTGGGTTTCCAATCCCAGGAGAAGAAGGCGAACGAGATATGGGCCAAAAAAAAACAGAAGGAGATGGAGGCAGCTGCAGCACGGCGGCGGGGTGAAGCGCCTCCTCAGGCAGCCACGGGACGAAATAGTAAAGCCCTAACTAATCCCTAACACCACACCTGATGCCGCCAAACTTAAAGCTTTCAATTCAACAATTGGATAATCAAAATTCAGAACACGCTGAAGCCCCGAAGCATATCAAGCTTCCACCAGGCATCCTTTCCCTCTGGTGCTGCGCCGTTGCCCGGCGGAAATCCCGAGGCGATGGGGAATTCAAAGATCAAGGGGTTTATTTAGTTTAGGGTTTTGGGGTGTAGGATTGACGGCTGGTTTCAGTGTTTGGGTGTGAGAGCTTGTGTTAGTGGGCTTGCTGAGGTGGGCCTTTCGGGGTTATGCAGGTAGTAGAGTGAAGCCCGCTGGCAGGCCTGTGGCAGCCGCGACCCGGGCCCAGCAGAATCGTTGTCGCAGCTCAGGCCGAAGGCGCCGGCGGTGGCGAAGGAGCCGGCGGTGGACAGGGCGAAGGCGCCGGTGGTGGGCAAGGCGAAGGAGCCGGCGGTGGACAGGGCCAAGGCGCCGGTGGTGGGCAAGGCGAAGGAGCCGGCGGTGGAAAAGGCTCATGAGGCGCCGGCGGTGGGCAAGGCGAAGGAGCCGGCGGTGGAAAAGGCTCATGAGGCGCCGGCGGTGGGCAAGGCGAAGGAGCCGGCGGTCCAGAAGGCCAAGGCGCCGGCGGTGGGCAAGGCGAAGGAGCCGGCGGTGCCAAAGGCGATGCTCCCTGGAAGGGCCGAGCCGTTCACCCCGCGTCCGCATCTTGGCATATGTGGCATAATTGCTTTAGGGGATTTTGGGTCTTGGGGTTTACATAGGGCTTAGGGGCTTTCTCGTTAGCATCTGTCCGCGTTTCCTTAAGCTATTAATATCGATGGCGCAGTTTTAGGCCATTGCCGCTGCAGCATCCAGTGCCAATGCCGCTTGGCTTACCTAGTCGCTTCTCTTTGTTGTTGTCTTGGTGTTTATTATATTATGCTGAGGGGGTCGAGCGGGGTGCACGGGCTTCAGTGCAGGAGCTCGAGCCAGGGACCTCCAGATGCCCTGGCTCCTCGGATGGCATTCAGCAAGACTTTAATACATTTAATAATTTAAGTGTTGGAGATGCACAATATCAACATTGTCACCTTGTTTACTTCTCACGAGCATCTTAGGTTCAGGGCATGCTGAGCATGTGTCAGCAGGTCCTGTCCCTGAGCTGCAAATACAATTGGGTGGACTTTTTATTGTTGCTAGTTTCAATTTCAACTACAAAACTACCCTAAAGCCTAAACACGAGACGTCACCACAGAGGCAGCAGAATCTGGAGCAGCGTGCCCTCAACCAGAAGGAGAATATGGAAGAGCGGGCGCAGTTGGCCAAAGAGAAGCAGGCCAATGACGAGCTCCGCATAGAGGCATATCGGAGGAGCCAAGCTGCTGCTTATCCGGATTTGGTGTACTTGTGACTTTATAAGTAAGGACTTCGAGGTATGTTTGGAAAGTAGGCTAAGGGCTACAGATTTCCTTGGGTTTTAGTTAATGCTACTGTCCAGGCGGAGCAAAAAAGCCTCCTGGCGTCAGCGGCAATGACGAAGGCTTTGGCCGTTCGGGACGCCGCACTCGCACCCGTGCTTGATTAGTATTCTTTTAAA